CCTATTGCTTTGGCAGACTGACATAGGAAAAATTGCTGCAGTTTATGTCAGAGAATATTTTGCTTATGTTCTCTTCTAGGAGATTTATAATGTCCTGTCTTATATTTAAGTGTTTAAGCCATTTTGAGTTTATTTTTGTGTATGGTGTGAGGACGTGTTCTGACTTCATTGGTTTACATGTGGCTGTCCAGCTTTCCCAACACCACTTGCCAAAGAGACTTTCTTCTTTTCCGTTGTATGTTCTTCTGTCGTTTGTTAAAGATTGACTGTAGGTGTGTGGGTTTATTTCTGGACAGTCAGTTCTGTTCTGTTCTGTTGATGCATACATCTCCCCCCGCACCCAATACCACACTTTTAATTACTGTAGCTTTGTAGTATTGTCTGAAGTCTGTGAGGGTTATGCCTCCAGCTTCATTCTTTTTCTTCAATAATGCTTTGGCAATTCTGGGTCTTTGTGATTCTATAGAAATTTTAGTATTATTTGTTCTATTTCTGTGAAAAAGTTTCTGGGTAATTTGATACGGACTGCATTAAATATGTAGATTGTGATTTGTAATTCCTTGATGACTAATGATGTTAAGCATCTTTTTATGTGCTTATTAGCCATTTGTATATCTTCTTGGGGAAAATGTCTTTTAAGGTCTTTGCCCTTTTAAAAAATTAGATTATTTGTCTTTTTATAATTGAATTGTAAGAGTTCTTTATATATTCTGGATAGGAGATCCTTTTCAGATCTGATTTGGAAATTCTTTCATTCTGTGTGATGTCTTTTTTTACTCTTTTGATAGTGTTTTAAAGCACTGGAGGTTTTCTACTTTTTCTTTGGTTGCTGTGTTTTGGTGTGTCATATCTAGGAAACCATTGCCTAATCCAGGGTCATTGTGACTTACTTCTGTTTTCTTCTAAGACTTTTTTAGTTTTAGCTCTGACTTTTAAATGTATAATCCCACTTTGAGTTACTGTTTGAATATTAATTAGTAGTCTAGCTTCATTCTTCTGCATGTAACTATTTAGTTGTACCAATACCATTGGCAAATATCAATTAACCATAAATATAAGGCTTTTTTTCTGAACTCTTAATCTGTTGTGTTGTTTTATTTGTGTTTCCTTATTCCAATACCACATGTCTTGATTACTGTAGCTTTACAGTAACTTTTGAAATGAGGAAATATGAATCCTCCAACTGTGTTCTTTTTCAAGATTGTTTTGGTTATTCCAAGTACTTTGCGCTTCTGTGTGAATTTGAAGATCAGCTCCTCCATTTCTGTAAAAAAAAAAGCCAACTGGGATTTTGATAAGGGTTACATTGAATCCGTAGATCAATTTGAGGAGTATTTTCATCTTAATAATAACATGTTCTTACATTTTCCTTTTTTAGTTCAAAAATAAATAACATGAACTATGTGTAAATTTAAAAAAGAGTCCATTGAAAAACATAAATAACATGAGCTGTGCCCTCAGCTGGCTTACAGTTTAGTAGAGTTATGTTAAGAACTCAGCTAAGTAGTATAATATCAGTAATAATCATAACAAGAATATTAGTACTACTTACTGCTAGTAATAAAATATTTATTTAATTTTTGCTATGTGGTAGTCTCTGTAATTACCTCTTTTACTAGTACTATCTCATTTAACCCTCACAACATTTTTTTTTTTACAAATGATTTTTTTTTAAAGCCATATGAAGAAGAATGTGGTAATATTCTAAAGGAGGTGAAGTGAGAGCATACTGATTTTAGATTTTATCAAGCAGAGCTTTGAATTAGACTCTGAAAAGCAAGTAGGATTTTGATGAAAAAGAATGGAGTTTGGGAAAAGCTGCCTCCTGAAGAAATAGCTGTTTTCTGAATCTTCTTGTAGCACCAAAGGAATTTTGTTGATGATGATAGTGGTGGTTGAGGTATGTGTTTACGTGGCAGGACTTGCTCACATTTGTAGGGTAAGAAAACAGAGGAAAAGGGTAAGTTGGAAGATACAGGAGAAAATGGGGATAATGATGACCCAAGGCCTCTATTAAAGTGGTCCTAAACACTCAGTGCTAGCACTGAATTGAGAGCAGAAGAAGGATGGGGAAAGAGGTGGAGAATTGCTTGGACAAAAAAAGAAGCTTTTATTTGATGGCTTTGATCTTCAAAGTAAATTTGAAGGTAATGCTATTTTCCTAGTGAATTAAAGGTTGGGGGATGACATTAGGAGCCAGAAAAGCATAGAAAAGTTTGGAGTAATTGTTGTGAGGAATGTAATATGAGTTAAAAATGAGTCAAACTAATTTCCATGAATTGGTAATGGAACTAATTAGCCTAGTTTTATTTTTTTTTTCCTTCGGCAATGTGTGGTAACCTGAGAGAAAGAAAGGAATAATTAAATGATAAGATTTACCCCAAATTGGTATTTGTCAAGCAAGTTGGTAAAAGAATAAGAATTAACCAGACAGTCTAAGATGTTGCTGTGGCATTGTTGAAATGGTGAGCCACAAAGTATGGGAAGTAAAACAACAAAGAAATCTGAGAAACTGTAAGGGGTTAATAATGTTGACCATGAACAGATTAGTGTGATAGTGAGGTTGAAATTTAAGAAGGTGGAATAAGTGTGTGTGCACAGGGTTTTGGGAGGTTCCAAAGTGAGATCTTGTCATCATTTGGGATTCTTTTATAAAGAATTTTAAATATCTCTGAAACTTAAAGGTATAGTGGAAAAATGCCTCTAAAGAGAGGCTTAGACAGCTTTAAGGCAGGAGTATTAAAAGAGTAATCAACATCCACACTGAATGCAGCAAGACCAATGGGGTGAAATGAGCCAAGCCAGATACAAAACAAGGTAGGCAAGTACCTTGGTAGATTGCACCTATGAGGATGGAGAGAGGTGGAATGAGTAAATGTTCTGTACTTAAGAAGAGAAAGAGCTATTGACAAATGCAGGAAGATAAGAGATTGTAATCCACGATGGTGGGAACAATATATTTTCAAAAATTAAGGCTAAGATTTTAATAAATAACACTCAGAACACTTGTTGACGTTTATTACTTTTCCTAAGCCTAACTTTGTGTAGAAATGTACTTTCCCAGATGACAGAAAATAATATTTGATCTATGCAGGGAGGAATCTTTGTCTCCCAGGCTACATATATATAACCTTCAAAGGGTAGGAATTGTGTTGGTCTTTATTTTTGTAGTTTGAGCCCCAAATAGTACCAGGCACAGCTTTGCTCAGTATTTATTTATTGAATAATTGAAGGCTCAACAAGTGGGTCACATTGAAAGAGATGCCCTTGAATAATTAGCCTATGGAACTGAAAGCTAAATAGAAATACAGCTCAAAAAATTTTGAATTGATTTGGTTATAATGCCTTGAAATGCTGTGAAACATCACAGGGTTCAGGGTTGGACAGCTAGTAGTAGATTATAAAGAAGAGGACATTTTGATGTAGTTTAGACCCTTTACTCATTTTAGTATTTTCCCTCCCCCACTGCCAAAAATTATGTGGTAAGATCAAGTATCAGATGTGGTGGCCCTTACTGAAATGAAGTTTCTCCGTTATTCTCCTCTACCTTTGATAATTCTCCCTTGCCTGTAGAATGAAGTTCAGGCTTCATAGCATAGTATATGCACTCTCTACACGCTGGACCCTTACCTACTCTTCCAGTCTTACTATTTGTTCCCCTATGTTCCTATCCTTCACGTAAATTCCGCAAACATGTATTGATCCCTTGCTATGTCCCAGGTAATGTATGACATTCAGCTATGCTAGTCTATAGTTTTCCTCTGTGTCTCAAAATATATTACCTCCTTACTTTGTTATAGAATTTTTCCTGTACTACACAGTACTCTTGTCTCCCCACTTAACTCCATCTATCTAAATACCAATGTTTTAAGGTCCGCCTCTTTCCTTACTCCTAACTCGTAGCAAGAACATTCTTTACTTCTCATGTATAGATAGCACTTAAACAAAGAAAGATACATCCATCTGCTGCTCTGCAGCCCAATAATAAACTCCTTGGGTGTTGAGAAATACCATTTTTTAAATCTTTGATTCTCCTTTGTATCCTTTCATAAATGTTTGTAGTATTGCATCTATTTGTGGTAGTAGGGAGAAGTGAATTATGGTGTGGGAGAGGGTGATTACCACTGCCTTAAGAACCATGAACATGCATGTTCCGATACATTCTCTTTACTTTTGGTATTACTGTTTTCAAGATTTTCTCTTTTAGAATTTGATATCTTGTGTGAACATTTAACTTTATAGCTTTAGTAAAATGAAACTTCTAGAAAGGTACTCTGATGAATAATGTCCTCAAAATTTCTTGAATGCAGGATATAAACCCCCTTTTCAAATAAAATTCTATTCTCTAGGCAGTATTTGGTGGGGAAGGGGAGACTGTAAGAGATCTCTAGTGATAAAAATTAAGTATTTTAACTGACAGCAGTTTCAGAAAGAAGGTGGTAGTTATACATCTTCTGCGTCCTGTTGAGGTTTTGGTGGTAATGGTGAGACCTGGCACTATGTACCTTAGTCTTGTTTTTTGTCAAATCTCTCTTAACACCTAGTCTTTTCAACCTCTCTTTGTGTTCTTTGGAAAGAGAAAAAGAGACAGAGAAAGATATGAAACTTCATATGCCTACAACTTTTCTGGGAAAAGATAATTTTTAACACAGGGGATATTTATCCTTGATGTAGTATTTTCTCATGTTAGATGTAGTTTGGAAGGTAACTTGTGATTTGACCAGAAAATTGCAAATAATTTTTTAAATTAATATGCATGGCTATTATAGACATATGTATGTGTCAGTTTTTAGATGTAGTGTATTGTAACAAAAGATTTATTAATTTAAAGATTAAAGTACTAATATACAATATTTCCAGCATTTATTTTGTAACGTGTAACACAAAATCCTGTTAGCTAGATTATAATGAGATTATAATCAGAGACTAAAATTTCATATTTCCTTGTGTTACTATCAGGAAATAATCCAGATTCAATGTAAGTCTACTTTATTTTATAGGCCTATGAAGAATACACCAGCAAGCTAGATGCCCTCCAACAAAGAGAACAACAGTTATTGGAATCCCTGGGGAATGGAACTGATTTTTCTGTTTCTAGCTCTGCATCAACGGACACCGTTACATCTTCTTCCTCTTCTAGCCTTTCAGTGCTGCCTTCATCTCTTTCAGTTTTTCAAAACCCCACAGATGTGTCACGGAGCAACCCCAAGTCACCACAAAAACCTATCGTTAGAGTCTTCCTGCCCAATAAACAGAGGACAGTGGTGAGTCAACTTTTAATATCATCATTGCTTTCCCCTTGTATGTTTCAGAAAGCCTAGTTGTTGAAAATGAAATGTGATACTCAGTGGTCATGCAGATGGAAGCATTCATTTCAAACAAGAATGGAAGGGACATAATTATTTGGTTCCAAAGTCTGTATTCCTTAACTGGAACAAATTGTATTGTCTTTATTGTCAGATTTGACATTTAAACCTGTTTACCAGACTTGAATCACACTCAAGTCTAAGTACTAGTTTAGAATCAATCAGAATTTTAAGACTTGAGCTTGCTTATTGTCTAATATATGTCAGTAAGATTCATTCTTTGCCCTTGAGAAATCCCTATTCAGATTTATTATCAGTTGTTAGATTCGTAGTGTGCTGACGTTTTTCCTCTTGTTTACATAACTTTTGATTATTGATCATTCGTATCATCATCGGAACACAGTACTCAGTAAGTAACATATTAAGCAGAGAAATCTGCAGGATTATTATCAATGGTCTATATCAAGTGCAGCAAGTACTGATGTTGGATTTAATGAATAATGCACCTGTTTACATCTAATTTCCTATAATGTATGTGGCTGCTTTTGATATTACTTTAAAAAATTTCATTTCCAAATATAAACAAGTCAAAGTAATTTTTAAATTTATTCCCTCAGACAGCATTAGTTTATGCTGCTTCTTCATGGAAAAAGTTTGCTGATGTGTGCTGTAGTAGTCCCAGTGGGGTCAGTTTGTCACCTTGTGCAACATAGGCATATGAATATCAGTGTATGGAGATGCAAGACTAGGCCTTTGCCTGTGTTACAGAGGGAGTTGGAACTAAGACCCTCACATAAACCTGAGCCTTTGAATAGCTTTACCTTCAGCAAAAGGGTGAATTAGAAGAAAATCTATTCACTAGTACACATTAATAGCAGTGAAACTTGTCTGTCTTTGCCAAGGCTCCAGATAAAGGTTAAAGTTTCCCTTGTGAATTCTCAAGTATAGACCTGTTCTCATCATAGGGTGGGGTTCATATTGTATTACCTGCATATTCAGGAATTCTCAGGCTAAGAAATTAACATGGCAACTGGTCCTGGAGTGATACTAACACTTAGGCACTGGGCAGAAGCAAATGCATAACCTCCCTTCACCCATATCAGACTCATAGAATTCACATAGATGATGCCTCACTGACAAGCTCAAAATCCCATTTTAATATGCAAGAAACAGTCTACCATTAGAGCATTAGAAGAGTTAATAACAGCAGGATTATACTCCTAAGAAAGAACCAAATAGAACTTCTAGGTGGTCTTAAAATTTAAAACTCAATGGATGACAGTTATCATCTATGAAATATTACTGCTGAAAATGATTGTGTTGAATGTTAAGCTTCTGGACTTTTCATTCTATGAGAAATACAGGGGATAAGGGAAGAAGTTAACACCACAAGGAAGCAATTAGATAAATTCAGAAGGTGGACATCCTATAAGACAAACAGCTTGGGCTGAATGTCATGGAGGATGAAAAGATTGGAGATTATTCTATACTAGATAAGACTAAAGAGACGAAACAGCCGAATGCAGTGTGTGTTCCTGGTTTGGGACTAGTGTGGTCCTTCTTGAGATGTGAAATGTTGCATGTTGACTGAATATGTGATTATGAAATTATTAATTTTTTGAAGTGTAGTAATAGGAATGTTACTATGTAGGAGAATGTCGTTATTCTTAGGAAATACATGCTTAAGTATTTAGGGGTAAATTGTCAGATGCCTGCAACCCCCGTGCCCTTTTTTTGAAATAAAGCTTACATACAGTAAAATGTGCAAATCTCAGGGTACAGCTCAGTGACCTTCTACATGTGTAACTGCGATGCAGATTAAGATATAGAATATTTCTAGTGCTTGAGAGTGTTCTCCTGTATTCTGAATTCTATCCCAGTCAACTTGGAACTTTCAAATGGTGTGATGGGAAACAAAATGTTAAAGAGAGAAAACAAATATCAAAAAATAATGTTAGAATTTGAGAGAATTTGGATGTTAATTGTACCATTCTTTCAAATTATCTGTTTAAAATTTTTCATAATAGAGTTGGAAAAATTCAAACAACATAGAACAAAAGAAAAATAGATAGCTAAAAGAAACAGTTGTCAACTAGGGAAAAAAAGCTAAACATATTGATGCTGATTTGAGGATGTAGAAAAGTAACACTTTAAATAAAACCTCAATATGTCAAACTAGTTGCAGCATATTACAGAGCAAGAGTTAAAATGCTATACAAAAATTAAAATAAAAATTAGTCATTCCATACAAAAATAGAAATACTTGTTTTTAAAAACTCAAAGGTAGATTGAATCCATTTGAAGGGAGGATTAGTGAACTCTGAAAAGCAAGGAAAGAGAGTCAGAGAAAATATGAGACAGGTTATATGCCTCAAAGGAGTTCCAGAAGGTGAGAATAGAAATAAAGGAGTACAGGGAACTATATTTAATATCTTGTAGTAACCTATAATGAAAAAATATGAAAGTTGAATATATGTATGTGTATGTATGGCTGAAACATTATACTGTACACCAGAAATTGACACAACGTTGTAAACTGACAATACTTCAATTTAAAAAAATAGATAAATAAAAAATTTAAAAAAAGAAATACAGGAGTAGAGCAAAATTCAGAGAAATGATGGCTAATCTTCATGAAAGACTTGAATCTAAGGATTTGGGAAATATAAGCTCTATAAATTATATATAAATCATAAGTTTGTTATATATTTGTTATATAAATAAACCTGAATCCATACTTATTAGATATAACAGAATGAAAGAATATTGTTTTGAAAGCACTTAGGAAAAGATTATCTATAGAAGAATTACACTTAGATTATCAAAAAATTTCTTCATAGCAGCTGTAGAAGGCAGAATACAGTAGAATAATACACTTAAAGTGCTGAGCAATGCCTGTAAATTGCTTAGCTAAAGTCTGAGTTTAGCTAGCCAGGTACACTATGAATCAAGGCAATTTCCAGATGAGGAGTTTACTTTGCCCAGGCTGTACTTGAAGGAGCCATCCAAAAATTACTTGAGGGAGAAAACTAAACACAGAGGAAGGAATGAAAAATAAGAGTTAAACTTTAAACTATAAAATTTACACAAGAACACAGCATTGTAAATCAACTATACTTCAATTTAAAAAATTGTGCAAGAAAATAGAGGGGAAAAAAATCTATGACCTGGAATTTGGCAGCAGTTTCTAAAATATGACACCCAAATCAAAATCCCTAATGAACATAGTGATAGGTTGTACTTTATCAAAATTAAAAACTTCTGCTTTTCAAAATACAATGTTAAGAGAATAAAAAAAAAAAAACCACAGACTGATAATCTTTGCAAAACATACATCTGATCAAGGACATGCATGTATCCAGAATATATAAAGAGCTCTTTGAAAGCAATAATAAGAAAACAAACAACTCAATTTAGAAATGGGCAAGAGATTTGAACATATTTTACCAGAGAAGATACGTGAATGGCAAATAGACACATGAGAAGATGTTTGTTGTCATGAGTCATTAGGAAAATGCAAATTAAAGACACAAGATACCACCTGCTAGAGTGGCTAAAATGAAAGAGTGGCCATGCCAGCTATTGGTAAGCATGTGAAAAACCAGAATTTTCATACACTGCTGGTGGGAATGTATAATGGTACAACCACTTTTGAAAACAATTTTCCATTTTATTTAATGCAGTCCCTTTAAAAGCCCCAACAGCTTTTTTTGGGGGGGGGGACAAAAATAGAAAAATCCATCCAGAAATTCATGTGGAATCTCAAGGACTCCTGAATACCCAATTTTGAAAAAGAACAAAGGTGAAATCTCATACTTCCTGATTTCAAAGCTTATTACAAAGCCACAATAATTAAATCATTGTATAAACAGACAATGTTAAACATTGTATAACTTGTTTATTATTTCTCTTTTTGATTATAGCCATCTTATTGACTATGAAGTGGTACCTCATTGTGATTTTGATAAGCATTTCTTTGTTGGCTGATGATGCTGAGCATCTTTTCATGTGCTTATTGGCTTTTGTTTATCTTTTCTAGAGAAATAATTTACTTCTATAAGTTTTACATGGCATGCACAAAACTGGGCATAACCCAAATGGTTAAACAAGTTGGTATATCCGTAAAATGAAATACTGTTTGGTAGAAATAATTGTATTGCCAATACACAGAACAGCATAGGTGACTCTCAGAGCAGTTATGCAGAGTGAAAGTAGCCAGACAAAAACAAATACATAGTTTATAATTCCATTTATATAAAAATCTAGAAGATGAAAACTCTTCTACAGTGGCAGAAAGCAGATCAGTATTTGCCTGGGCTTGGAGCTAGGGCAGAAGAGGGGTTACACAGAAGCACAAGGAAATTTTCAGACGGTAATAGGATACATTCATTATCTTGAATGTAGTGGTGGTTGTGTGGAATATACATATACATATATATATGTATATATATAAATCAAAATGTATCAAATTATACACTTAAATTATTACAGTTTATTGTATGTTTAATTATGTCTTAGTAAATCTCTTTTAAAGCAGGAACGATGAGCCTTTTATAACCAAAGAAAATTGGATATGAAATAGATTTGAAGGAGTGAAAAGAGTATTCAGGATGAGGATGGTCATATTTACAGAAACACTTTAACAGAAAGACATAGAAATTCTAAGAATTATATACATAATAAAAGCCTCAAAATATGTAAAACAACAGAATTACAGATGGAAAAATTCACTTCCCTAGTGGGTGATTTCAACACACCTACTCCAGTAATTGATAGATCAAGCAGGCAAAGTTGGTGCACTTATGGAAGATTTGAACAACACAGTTGTCAGTTTTATATAATAGACATGTAGACCTTGCACTCATCAATACAAGAATACACATTCTTTTCAAGAATGTATGGGAACACTAACTTTTTTTTAACTGCATTTTAAGCAAGGAAGGGAATCTCCTCCACAA